TATTTGATTAAGATTTATATTTATTGTCAATATGTTAAAAGCTAATGGGTCACACACATTAAGTGGCATAATTGAGATTAAATAAGGATAATCAATTTAGTTGGACTTAATTCGAATAGACCAAAATAAAATAAAAAATTAATTAAGTTCATAAGGACTTAATTGAATTAAAATACAACTGTTGTATCTAGGGTTCCAACTTAGTTTGACTATAAAAATATATTATGTTATCAAAGTAAAACTACAAGCCTCCAATCACTTCTTAGCCATTTCATAAAATAAGAAAATAAAAACATAGTTTTCTTTGTCTGACAAAAATAAGTTTCGGTAAGAATATTTAGTTTTTTTATTTTAAAAATAAAACTTGCTAGCACAAGTAAAATATTACTTTTGGGAAGGTCTTTTTTAGTCACTGTGTGTATTACAGTTAAATGCCAAATACTTGGGTGGCTGAAGATTTGACAAATCCTAAAAGTGAAGAAGCAAAGATTCTGGTTACAGGATTTTAGACCATTTTATTCTCTTTTTAGGGTTTCTTGCTTCATGACAAACATTTTTTATTTAATTGGCTCCTGATTATAATATCTAGAACAGGGTTTGTAACTCTTAAACTTATGACGTTCATAATTAATTTGAAAACTACATGAAAAATACAAATATTGATACTGTAGGATTCAACTGTTTCTTTGATTAAATGCTTGGTTATTATTTCGCTGCATTATATTTTTAATTTCATGATTATTTTCATATTTGCACATGAGATCGAATCCCAGTAGTGGTATCAGAGCCTTTGTTTGATGTTTTCATGTAATATACATACTTAATTTTTGGTGATAATCAATAAAATTAATTTGTGTGTTATTTTGGTGTATGTCAATTTTGAAGGCATTCTTTAAAATCTATTTTTTATTTTAATTCACATCTAGACAGCATGTAATTAATTCATTAAAACTATTTTAAAAGGTTTAAAATCGTGTGTAGTTGACGAATTAATAATTGGATTAAAGGGCTTGTAAAGCCAAGTTAAAACCGAATATTTTTTAGGTGTTTTGGAGACTAATGTGCCTATTTTTTTTTACTAACATTGGGTAAATGTTATGAATATTTTTAATTGTTAAATATTAGTTTTATCAAATTAAATTACTGTATACTTCTACCAAATTTGATTTAGTATGAAAAAGATTCATAAAAATCATGTTTTCGAGTTCCAAAACAACAAAGATTCAGTACAAAAATTTTTGTCTAGCTATGATTAGTTTTGGTGGCTTAATTTTTCATGAATTTTGTGTTTACTTGTTAAACATACTTGCAGAAAATTTTCAGTAGCCTTTTCATTAGTTTAGCTCATGATTTAAGAAGTTTTAAGAGTACTTAAATGCCATCTATTTTAATTTTGAGTGA